GTAGATGTATGTAGTATATATATCCATTGTATAAGGATGTCGAATCCTATCCTTGACTATTCTTTGCTGCTTATTCCTACTACTAATTCTAGCAGAGTGCTTACAGAGTGTGGGCGTCGTGATGGATTATATTTAGGATCTCCAGAAGCTTCTTCTACGGTCAATGCTTGGGAGTGTATAGGGTAGGATAGGATAGGATGTAAACATCAGCAAGAGCAGGTACGTGCATTCTCCCTTGACCTACTGGAAGAAAACAAGCTTATTGTGCCTCAAGTTGTATACGTCAATTCAGCTGTTGTGGTGGCTGGTGGCTGGGCAGAGGAATGTGTGGACATTCTTGACAAGGAGGCGAGTGAGTTGCGAGATGGAAGACTGATGAGGTGCTAGTTAATGGGTTCCATGGATGAGATGCTAATCCTCATTTGAATACAATATGGACAGAGTCAGTTCTGGAAGGGATAGTTTATGTTGTAAGCTGGATGGGTTCAGGTTATACAAGTATAGATGGGAGGGAAGAGAGGAGTGACATCAATTGCTTGTACCTGGATTCTTTAGCGAGACTCGCATTCTTAGGGATTGTGCCATTGGCTTTTACTCTCCGAGCAGTCAAGAAAATTGGAGGGAAGACTGAGGTAGACATATTAGCTAGAGGTGCGGTGGTGGTGTTGTCTTCCGCCAACTCAACTTCTCCATCCCACGTCGACCAGACGACGCCAAAATTCCTGAGCAGTCTCCCCGGTCAATACTCCGCGGATACACCCTTCTTCCCTCACCTGTCTACTCACTGAGAGCCAATGAATTGGGGAGCAAGCCTGGTGGTATGCCTCTTCCCCCCAAGAATGGACATCCGACATACCGAGCCAAACAACAAACAACCAAGTCCTACGAGTCAGTTCCACTGATGTACATCCAGCTTCCCAGCTGAAGCCAACAGCACCAAAGGGGGCAGTTTGTTGTTCAGTCCATCGCTATGGATCGACCGTCAATAATCATATCAGACCTATTAAATACGTATCAGTTCAACATGCGGCCATATATTTCAAATTCTTCTTCTCTTCCCCAGCCCCATCTGTTCACGTCGTGCTACATACTTGATCTTCTGTACGACCTTAGTGATCTACAACCATGCGACAGGCCATATCCTCCCGCACCTCTGGTGCGATTCGAAGGGATGTTCAAATAGCTCAAGCTTCCGCCGTTCCGTATTCTTCGTACGGAGGTTCGTCATCTACCTACGACGACGGTCAGTGGTACGGAGGATATTCGTCGGGCAATTCGTACGGTCAGCAAGGTTCAAACGGTCAACAATCGGGGCAGTCAAGCGATATGTCCTCAGGCAGCACGGGCACAGGAAGCTCGGGCTCGAGCGGTGCCTCCTACAGTTCAGGAGGGCAGGGTGGTGCTGCCGCCCAAGCCAGTCCTGTTGCTTCGACAGAAAACTCAGCTTCATCGTGGTCTGAAGGAAGTCCCGCCAACAGTGCTCAGGCCAATGCCGATTCGTGGACTAGTCAATATGTTCCAAACTCGCCATCTCCATCAGTTGTAAGCGCGACATGGGAAACTTCGGCCCTTCCTACACAAACAGACAGCTGGACGAGCATGACATCGACTACTTCCACAACCAGCAATAGCACACCCAGCCGCTCCAGCACGACCGAAACAGAAACGCCCGCCAGTACAACAACAGCAGCCTCCGCCGCAGGTACCTCGCATGGCCCTACCCCCCTGTCTACCAAGTTGGCTATCGGCCTCAGTGTCGCAGTGGCGGTCGTCGCCATCCTAGGCTTCTTCGTGTGGTCATTGCACCGGAAGAAGCGTGCCTTGCAAAAGGCGATAGCTGGTAACAAGGGCAGGGACGAGAAACCAGACCCTAGCCCACCGCAACCCTCTATGATGAAGAGGTGCGCCAGCAGCTTCTGCAATGGTGTATCAACCATCAAGTTCAAATCCACCAGATCGCGTCTTCGTTGTAGTTCAGTGCGTCTTCCTGGAGCTCCCAAGTCAGAGTACAAACCGATCAAAGACTTGGCACTCAAGGTGTATGCTAATGGCCGCGGAATGCTGCGTACAGCTGCCAACATTGCACGGTCTACTTGGCAGAAGTCACACGTACATGTTCCGCGACCTGCTTCTGAGTACATGCACGATCCCAACAGTGTGGTGCGGGATGGTTTCCGTCAAATCCATCGGTCATACTTGTCTCTGCCTCAGGCGCGCAGTAGCAACAACAATAACAAGGATAACAAGGACATTCACCCCGCGTTGCGAGGTCTACATTCCTCGACTGAGACATTAGTCGGCGCAGACATGGGCAGAATCAAAGAAGTCACCGTGTCCAACACCCCACCAAGAGAAGAGACTGGCAGGATCCCAGAAGCCAATGTCGCAACAGTGGAAACCGTTTCGCGAGGCACATCGACCAATTCCAGCTCCCCGACAGTTTCTAGAAGTCCTACGATTGAGGTTCCTACTATTGAAATACCCACTTCTCCTGGAGCACCACCGATTTCATTGGCTCGTGTGTATCGCGTCGATATGGATTTCCGCCCTGTCAGCCCTGAGCACATTGGGCTGAAGGAGGGTCAAACGGCTATCCTGCACCTAGTATACGAAGACGGATGGGTAAGACACCAACATTGTATCTATCCCCTTCCGTATAACTCTAGCTAACAAACTTAGGCACTGGTGACCGTCCTCGAAACAAACAAAGAAGGCCTCGTCCCTCGGGCATGTTTCTCTGCACAACCAATACGGAACCAAGCCCAGTATCTCGGAAACAATATCAGTATCTCGACTGATCACGTCCCTCGCTCTCCGCGTCCTGCGACTCCCACATCGCCATGTGAATCCACATCTGACGGCGATCTCGGACGGTTCTACTCGAACTGCGTGAGTCCGGAGTTACCGCCAATGGACGATGAGAGGCCACAGACTCCCAAGCTGAAGTCTTTGCCGTCGATCGCAAGTTTCCTTAAATCACCTCCCAGCTTCAAGAGCATGGTTTAAGTGAGAAGTAGAAATCTCTTCCTGTGAATATTCGGTGTGACCCGTGTTAAGCGACGGGTGCACTTTATTGTATATACATGATATCATAATGTCTTGTGCGGATACGTATAAACATTCATTGAAGACATCGCGAGATATTGAAATGGACAGACGATGTCCAAGTAGCAACTTTTGCCAAATGCATTGGCAGTGATTTAGACTCAGCCAGTTACCCTGTGATCTTCTTTCTGGGTGAGATGGATCCATCATTACACTGCTTTTTCCTGTGAAACCCTATCTTCATACTCGAACGACCACTTAGTACCACAGTGGCTCCTCGCCACGTTATACACTAGTAGTGTTTGTTCGTTTGCTCGCCATTCATGTGAGCTACACAGCATAGATGGCAAGCTCATTGATTTGTATAATCGTGCTTATCGCTTCTTGTTGCGTGCGCTGCGAGACCTTTGACATAACAAGAAGAAAGCAGCCATGCTCAGAATACAGTCTTCTTCATGCTCCCTTTCCTATATTGTATATATACTATGCATATGTGTATATATCATAAGGCTGGGGTGAGTACATGGGACTCGTTATTACTGCTTCTCGCATAGTAATTATGAATATTGAATGTTCGTGCCTACTACAAAAAGTTGTACTAATTCCAGTCATGTCAACGTTATCATTACTCTTTATCACGACGTTGGATGAAATATATATAGAGTAACAGGATGATAGAAAAGAAGATCCGTCATTCATATTCAATGTCTACTACCTGCTACCTCCCATTAAATAAACTTAGTAGAAGTACCACATAGTAAAAATCCTTCTATCCATGAACTACATACATACTATGATCTATTACATTACTCGACATCTAATAAATCAATGAACATACTACCCAAGATATATTCCATAACTATTCCACAACTCATACCTACAGATGCAGCATAAGCATCGTACATAATGTACGGCGAAATAAAATACAAATACACAGCAATACCATGACCACACAATCGCACACTCACATGACATCACAACCGACGAACCACAAGCGCCTGTTCCAGTGCAGATCACCGCCGATTTTATTTCCATCTAAATATAGCTCTTATGCTATCAGCCTTTCTTAGCTGGTGGATTTGCCGTGCGGGGTTCTCTTCTTCTTCTTCTTCTTCTTCTTCTTCTTCTGCTTCCATCTCTTCTTTATGTTAATGACTTTATGTATTAAGTTGAATATTCAATATATGTTTATACAATATGTATAATGCTTAAGAATATTTCATTCATGAAATGTCTATATACACATACATGGCTGAAGCACAAAGTACATGGATAATGAATAACATTCCTGTTCCTGAACCATACCTCACTACTACTTACCCACACCCACAATCACACACTAACTCACTCACTCCATAATACCAATAATCCAATTAAATTATAATTAATCAATCATTCAATCAATCAACAACCCGGATTCCATCCCTGTCTCACTCTCCCTCCCAGTCTCACCTCATCCTCTAAACCATCATCCGACACCCGAACTGACACGATAGTCAATAAGTCACTAGCCAGGTACACGCACACACACACGGTCGGGTAATTCCTATCCTTCTTTACCCGTTCTATCCTCTTATCCCAATGCAATGCATCTTCTACTACTAGTATCTTTCCATCTACAGTAGTATCTACAGTACACAAGGTAACCCGGCCCACTCCTCTCCACTCCACCCATACATACATACCCCGAACAGAACATGACCTCCAGTTTGAGAAATAATGATGCCTGTTCTGGTGATCAAATCCAACCCGTTCCTGACCTGACCTGGCCCGTTCCCACGTTCCAACCCTCCCTCCCTCCCTCCCTCCATTCCATCTCTGAAACCTTAGCATCACGCTCTCATATCATACTTACCAACTTCCATTGGTATGTTCAAATCATAACATAATCTTGCATCAATCCATACATATCCCGGACATAGAATATGAAATTGTTAAACCGGGGAGGAAAAAAAAAAAAGGCCCCCCTGGATTCATTTGATCTAGCGTAACCTGTTTGGGGGTCGTCGGGGTCTAGGCTAGTCTAAGACGGGTTGAAATTGTGGGTTTCTCAAGTGGAGAGAGTGAGAGGTAACTTACTAACTAGGAAAGTAAAAAGGGGTGTGGGTGGGTGTGGGTTTTTTGGGTAAGTTGGAGAATTTAGTTGGACCCTGAATATGCTTTCCCACTTTCCCTCTCTCTCTCTCTCTCTCTCTCATTCGGTTCGAAAGCTTTTCTTGGCTTGGGGCAAGGTACCTACCGTCTGAATCCATACCTTTCTTCCATTGGGTAAGGGAAAGTAAAATTGGCTGGTAGGCTTGGTTTGGTGTGGTTTGGTTGGGGGAAATTAAGGGTTCTTTTTTTCTTTTTTTTCTTCGTTCTATTTTCGTGTGAGCTTTGTGTTTTTGTTGTATTAAGGACGGTTCTATTATTAACTTCCATATATATATGGTCCCTTGTTTCTTATAATTCTTTGTATGTAAGTATGTGCGTATGGCCTGATAGTTGTATGAGGGTAGGTCAGGGTCTGTTGGAGAAAAGACGGATGGGGCAGGCAAGCCCTGGAGGGTCCGTTCAACTTCCGGAAAGTCCGGGCGAGGCGCGAAAAAAAAGTCTTGATCATGGTGCGTGTGTAAGTTCATCCTCCTTAGGGGACAGACAAGGCATAGATGTACCCCATAGTAACTACGATCTATTGATCTTGATAAGGGTCTCGACCAAGACAAAGTGGATATCTTTTATCATCTTGAAGATGATCGTGTCGAACTATCTGTTTATCCACAGTGCAAGGACACAAAAAGAGGGCAGAACTAATTTAGTACGAATTGGTTGGATTGCAATACGAACGGCTTAATCTGGGCGACGCACGTATCTTCCCATCTACGCATGGTGGTAAAAAAATAATATCAGTAGATGTCAATTCGGTATCTGAGATCGCCAGGAGTCAGAACAAAAATGGAAAATGAAGGTGCCGCTGCGCCTGTCAGACCCCAGCGCCGAAACAGCTGTCTCATAAACGCGGCAATGACTGGCCAACGCCAGTGCTTGGCATGCACCCTAACAAAGAACACGGGACGAAAATGAGAATGAAAAAATTGAAAATGATTATAAGGAAATTAATATGGAGAAGCTGAGGAAATGCTCAAGGCTAAAACGAATCCAAATGAAAGCCTGTCACGATCGCGCCTCCCAACCTGCCCGTTTCCCCAAGGTATCCGATTATATAACCTGAAAATGCATCATAAATAAAGGAAAGGAAATGATCTGGTGGTGGACAAAGTGTCACAGAATAAAGGAAATCCAGAATGAATGAGTAGATAGAATAGGATGATCAAAGACCATCACTGAACAAAAAGTGTTGTTGGCGAACACTACTAGTGTTCGCAGCCCGCCGACCGAGGCGGTCGCCTCGGGCGCGGCTGGGCAAGAAACGACCCGATTCTCGTCCGGACGTGAGCCCGGACGCCGGCAAGGGTGTCATTAGAATCCATACGGAAATGCTCCCTAGCAGTGGAGGATGTAGCGAGTCGTAAAACATGCGATGCCGCTGATGTGAATCCGATAATAGGCGGAGGCCAATCGTGTATCTCGTGTCATGTGTCGTCCATCGAGAAACGGTCCAGCCAGATTATGTGGTCGTGTAGGGTCGTACCTTGCGGGGAACCGAAGTCCCGACCGGTCGCTGCGTACCGATCAAGAGGCACCGAGCCTTACTTGCCGCAAGGTGACATTATGGGGGGGTGAGGGCTGAGACACGCGCAAAGTTACCGGCCGTTGTGCGATCCGTCGGGGCCAGAATGGCCATGGTTCCTCTGCCGAGTGTCGAGCCATTCCATGGGAACGTCCTGCCGCGAGGCGGGCGTCTTCTGATCCTCGGGGCGCCCGGTGGTAGTGTTCTGGGGGAAGAGATTGTTCAGTTCGGCAGCAAGGGCGGACGCAGTGTAGGCGCGCAGCTCTCTCTCTTCACGCTCATCCTCCTTCATCAGGCGTCGCTGATCCGTCTTCGAGAGGTTTTCCCGGCGCTTCTTCCGGATCTCGTGGATCACCCACACAAGCACCTCCTCAGGAGCACGGTTTCGGGCCTTGCCATGCCGTGTCGGGCTTCGAACATAGCGTCTAGTAACATCGGTAGCTCCATCGATCGAGAATGCAACGCAGTAGGAGATTTTCCGTCCCCAACCTATAGCTATGATTAGCGAATGTCAATCATACGAAGCCGGATACACATACCCTCAGTGTAGAGACGGGGCTGATCCCAGGCCTCCTCACAAGCATCTACATGCACCCAGCGGCGCTGATGCTCAGAGTAAACCTCAGTCCAGACGTGATCCTCGGCGTTCCACACCCATCGTACACGGCCACCAAGGGCTCTGCAGAACATGCTGAAGCAGTTGGCCCATTCACCGGCACGTCCCCGTCGAGTTTGCAGCAGCTGCCACACATCCGAGTAGCGGGGGAATCTCTCGTAGGAGCCACACATTCCTTCGGAGCATCGGTATAATTCGACACGAGTAGCACCACGCGCGGTCTCGTCAGGCGACGGGGGAGTCATTCCTTGGGCGATTGAGGGGGAGCCACATCGAGCACATGGGGGATTGTTGACGAATTTGAAGAAGCAGTTCTTGAACCACCTATATTGAAATTGATTAGTAAAGCCCATGGGACGATTGAATACTTAGAAAAACGTACCTTAGAAGCGCCCGGATGACGCAGTCCTGGTATCCCCATTCCGGCTTTCCTCCTACACTAGCTGCCTGAGCCTGCATAATCTGACTTTCTTCCTCTGCTTCCGAGTACAACCGGTCGAGAGGGATATGGGCGAGAGCCTCATCCAGAAGGCCTGGGTTCTCATATTTGGTCGGTGTTACAGAAAGAACGTGGAGAAGGTTGCGAAATTTGAGGGAAGCCGGATCTTGTGGGGGAGCAGGAAAGATGGGTAGACTGCGGAGTAGGGGTGATTGAGCCGACGTTTGCGGAGGCATTTGAGGGGGGTATTGGGCTGCGGTCGGAGGCGGTGGTGGTGGTGCTCGCGAGGGATGAGGCGGGTACAGGCCAGGGGACATAGCCGCGGGCGCTGGGGATTGTGTGCGGGAGGATGCTCGGGACTGTTCCTGAAGCTGGTTGAATCTCTTGTTGCGCATCAATTGTTCGAAGGCGTTGGTAAGTTCCGAGGCGTCGAAGTTCTCAGGCTGCAGCGCCGGGTTGTGGTGTCGACCGTCCGCCATGGTGGTAGGGGGTAGGGTCAACGACACCAGCGAGTGTAAGACGTGTGAATCTCCAGATTGGATGATTTGCGATAATCCTGGGTGATCGTGATCGACTAGTAACGTGTCTCCAGATGCAGGGAGGAAACACGAAAGAGATGAAGGTCGGATTGGATGGAAGAGTGATGTCGACACAGGCCAGGTAGTAGTAGTAGGTTGGAAGGTCCGTCAGGTCGGTCGATTGTAATGATAGTCGCACAGCCTAGCCAGGCGGTCGCCACGCTTGGCGCTGGTCAACGTAACCGCCACGACTACGGAGGGATCAAGGTGGTGATGAAGATGGGAGGATACTGAAGCCAGATGTCGAGATGGCTACAGTATAATCAAGTAGTGTGAGAATGGATGAAATTATGTCAAAGGGTTTAACGACCGAAAGGGTATAGGAAGGGTTTGGTTCAGCTTAGAGGGGAGTGGGCGGGCGGCAGGGAAACCGAATGGGGAGTGAAGAGGAAAGGAAGAGAGAGAAAAGAAGGAAGGGAAAGGGAAGAAAGCGAGAGAGAGGAAGAGAGCGGTTAGAAGAGGAATGAGGAGGGATGGTTGTTGAAGATACCTACGACGAGGTAAGGAAGTAGTAGTTCCTGGGGAGGGAGGGAGGAGAGGAGAGAGAGTAGTAGAGAGTAGAGAGAGAGGGAGGGAGGGAAGAAAGGGAAGGTAACTAACTAAACTGCTAAGAGAGAGTCGAGAAGCAGTTACGCAGACCGTGGCCGAACAATACGCAATACTAGTAGTAATACGACGACGGAGGGACTGACTAGTCACAGGAGAGGTGATGATTTTTCTGGCCATTGGCGCTTTTTCTCTCCACGCCAGCAGCGAGGGCGAAGCGTCGTCAGCCTTGAGCTCTTCGCCCCAATCAGGGCCCCGCGCCAGCACCGCAAGCCGCGTGTGTCCCGCCCCGAAACAGTTAACTGAACCATGGCCAAGACCCTCGCTCTCCTCGGTCCGCTGCTTTGCATTGCTGCGTCGCACTTACTGCCACGCACTTATCCTCGCTTTCTCCTGCTGGTAGCATGGTTCCCTCCTCCCGGGTTTTGGCAATATTGCCTTGATGTTGATCAGTATGGTTTTCTGTCCGTACAGCCAGCCCTTTCCCAACCCAAACCCTCTCTTGACTCTCAAACTGCATCCATACGTTGCAGACTCTCCTCCGATCTTTTCCCCAATTATTGACCCCAACCTTCCCGCAAGTATATTTCTTCTTTGTCAATCACTCCTTGTCGCGATCCGATTAGGTCGATATCGTTGAACTTCAGGCTCCACTTCTCGAACCCGATGTCGATTCTCCCTGTCCATCGTGACCTCTTCTATGCTAACAACGGTGTGGCTGTCTGCATTCTACAAAAACAACTACAACTCCAAACTGCCCAATAAAACTACTATTCGACTATACTAGTATGGACCACTGGTAGATAGAATTTAGACTATGTTTTTCCACCCTCTTTCTCTATCTCCACTCTCTTCCTAGGCCCTACAGAGAGGAGACACACCTGCTGATGAATCCCTCAAAAAGCTTGGCCATGTCCGCGTGGGTTGCTCGTCGCGATCTGACATTGGGACTGGCTTTTCCCCTCAACCTCGTCTACGCAATCCTTGCACAGATTCCACTATGATCCTCAGAGCTTCATCATCTTCCCGACCACACCCTCCCCGTGGAGGTCCTGTCCCGCTATACAGAAGATTTGCATCTCCCGATCGGGTAACTGTCGAGCGCAATCTTCCGCGCTCTGGGTCCGCACCATGGGGATCTCGTTCGACGTCAGCCTGCCTGTCTTACGCGGCTCTCTGACCAACGGACTAAAAATGTCACCATCGTACGCTACCATGCGCAACGACCGTGCTCCGTGCACGTCGTGTCCACTTCAATGGTCGATACTAGGCACACCATCAACAGAATTTTAAGGAGCTCTTCCTCCACCAGGAGGGAAATTTCATGACTCCAACACCTATTCAGACACGAAACTCCAATACCTCTACCAGAAGGGGCAATTTGGCAGAGCGGCATGGCCCGTAGCCTTACGAGTATTCAATCCAGTGCTGGAGTTTTCAACCCACTTCACCAAATTCCCCTCAGCTGACGAATCACGGATGAAGTCGAACCCGATTTTGGGTGCCGATTTTCTGGCGGACGAAGGGATTGGGCAAATAAGAGGGAGCTGGATAGTCATGTAAGGCTAAGAACTGCACTATTTGCCAGCTAAATTACTCGGAAAGCTGCCACAGAAGCAATTGGAGGGGCAGCTCGTATGCTGGCGTCGAACTATATGTTGGGTACGTCGTGGCCTTGAAGGATGTGAGGGTCATTTTAAATGAGCCCTCCTATAAGACGAGCAATCCAAACCCTAGCCGGAACAGACTTCAGCCGTCGTGTGGCCGGCGATGATCATGGTGATCTTGATGACTTATAAAAGCCAACCTTGATCAGGGTTCAGACTGCGCCTTGCACGGCAGACTTCTATATGTTTCAATTGGAGGACGACTCCATGATAGACACAGCGATCAGAAGACAATCATCGCGCCGTATGCGCACGACACCCTTGAAGCAAGCCCTGGGCAGTCCGTACGCATAAACGTCCTTTCTGTACATATAAGACGACCTGTCCAGCGCCCTATCTTCTTAGCATTAGAAGCACACGCGGCATCTGCACCCTGATGAATGTGAATCCCCACTCTGACAGTTCTCATGTACCACAAATCGCCAATTCATTTCCACCGTCATTTTATTTATCCCTCCCAAAAAGGGATTCCCTAGGCCAATCATTTCATGCATATAACACATCCAGAGCACCCTACACCATTGGTTTTAATCATTCAGCTGAATGGCGGCGCTGAATGAACACCTGAACTCGATAACAGTTATACCGAGAGTGTTCAAGGAGGGAAACTAAAGATACAAAATAAAAATTAAAAAGAAGACCCGGAAACCCGACTTCTCCGACTGTCCGCATATCTTCCTCCCTACCAACTCAAAGCGGAAAGTATCCAACGGAGATAAAACCAGTCGGCGTTACAGGATTACGGCATCCTTCCTAAACAGGACGATGGGTGGCGGAGACGCGCAAGCGTCCGTCTTGGCATGAGACAAGATCTGGCTAGAGGGAGCTTCCAGACCCATGGCCCTAAACCCGTTTCTGTTTGTTGTCCAAGGTGTCAACAGTCAATACCACCGTCCTAGACCCTGGCCAGGGGGCTTGGCGTGGATACCTCATCCGGTTATGTGTGGCTTTGCTTTTTTCTTATTCCCTCTTCCTTCCGAGTTCAGTAAGTGGTAGATTGATTGTGAGAGAAAGTCACAACCCTTTCCAGTTCGTTCTCGGGTTTGTGTTCCATTCCATCGATGGTCGAGACCCTGGACGATCTCATCTCTTGTTTTTGAGGACATTCTATTCTACACAGGTATATTTCCATGGTTTAGATAATTGACTATAAATCTTCTTCACTACTACACTCTAGATAAGTAGGGAAATAAAATATGGGGATGGCTAATATTAGCACCACCTTCACACCTGGTAAGAACTAAGAAGATTGCAATTCCAGAGATTAGTTAGTTTTTTACTTGGTTGGATTACGCAGCACTATGCAGATGACTAAGTAACTAACTAAAGGGAACCCGGGCTTTACGGCATCCCACTTAACCCGAACTGTTCTTTGAACCTGGACGCGGAATTGAACCCTTGAAACCGAACACGTGAGCCGTCCCTTTCCCGATTGGTGAAAATCCTTCAATGTAAGGTGCGGTGGGTCTTTTATCGATGCTGAACTGGCATGATTACGACAACTCTTTTCTAGGTGGATTCTTCAGTGCCTGCCTCCAAAGAACAATACTGTACGGATTACTGAGCAGAAAGAAGAACATCAACGGAATAACGGAGTCACGCGGAGTTAAAAACTGCGCGCGGCTCAAGCCGACAGAATCTCATACCCACATCTTTTCGTACCAGGTTTCATTGACCCAAGGATCACAGTCAGTTACTGAGATTACTTATCCACAGTTCAGTTGGAGGCACTAGACTACGTACTATTTAGTTTATCTAGTTGGTTCGTGGTTTGTGGTTGTGGTTTGTGGTTAGCGGGCCGTGTCATCGTGAAGTCATGATTAGATACTACTTGCAGATACGCTAACTATACTCTACTACAATATAATATACTATAGCATACTATACACATTAATGTAGATAGATACTACATAGAGTAAACTAGTCTAGGGATACATATATATACATACGTATGTATGATGTGATGATGCAACCGCGACTCATCTTCACCTGAGACAAACAGATAGATAGATAGATAGACAGCATACTGTAGTAGATATGATCCAGTTCCTTGCTTCAAGTACTCGCGGACATACATACATGCATACTACACGCATACTTGCTTGATTCGCACACATACCGTATAGCATAACTTCAATACTGTGGATTCGCCACTACTGATACTACCTGCGACCTATCTGTCTGTCTGTCTTGTCTGACTTCTTGCTAAGGTAGCATAGCAGGCAGGCAGGCAGGTAGGTAAATGAACGTTGCCGCTGCGCTGCAGTACTACCGTTACTGTGCAGGATGTAGGAAGTATATATCTGTAGGTACTACTACTTACTACTACACTTATACTCTAACTTTTCCCTCTATGTACTCTGCAGTTTATTGTTATAAATATATACTATAAAGTATTGTATATTATATTACTATCTATTCCCATTATCCACTTTAAAAATATAACCAACAATCCAAACAAATCAATCTCATCTCTAACATACATTGTATGAACTGACTCAAGAAAATGATCTACAACATATATGTACATGATGACGTACACCCTCCAAACCGGGTACCATAATCCCTTCCCCTTCCCGGCCCGGGACGGGTAAGTATCTGCTTTGCTCTGCTCTTTGTCCCCGGGCACGTAGTTAGATATTATGGACAACGTTGTTTCAGATAGCGTAGGTAGGGATGTGTGGTTGGGTTTTGTTGGATAATCCGATGATCATTGTTGGGATGTATCAGATAACGTACGCGGCTTGATTTGAATTTTTACTTTCTTGCCATGTGTCATGTGTATTGTGGTGGTTAGGTTTGGAAGCATGGGTTTTTTTTTACTTCTTCGATGGATGTTCGGTTCGGCGTGGTGGTGTGCTTGCTGTGCTTTGCTTGCTGTGCGGTGTGTAGAGGGGGGGGGGGGGGGTGAAATTAAGTTTTCTGCACTACTACTACTACATACTACTTTAGTTTGGGTGCTAGTATCTACTAATCAATCTTCTAGAAGGTGTCTCGTCTTGTCCTGCATTAAGCGGTATCTTTATTATGCTGTGTCGCTTGCCGAATTCTTATTTAATCTATGGATTAGAAGATCGCTATGCCCAGATACTATGTTCGCCGTGCTCGTGTTCGCCAAGAATATAAACAGTAAATGCTGCTTGAATGAGTGTGAACGAATGGATGAATGAAGGAGATGAAAAGAAACAAGGAAACCGCTGCAGTCCATAACAGCAATCAGGTTGAACACTTGGATAGTTCGGCAACGAATGACTTGCCCCAGAAAGCACTGCGACATTAACGTCAGCTAACTATGTGTTGTATACTCATCAATAGGCCGCGTCAGCTTACCTGGTGTACTTGGAGATGTATTTGTAGAGCTTTTCGAATTTTTGGGCCCGCAGATCGTCACTCATCGACACGGCCTCGTGGTATGCATTGGCAAGTTCTTCCGTGTTCCATGGGTTGACGACAATGCTGCCGTTAAGACTTTGCGCGGCTCCAGCAAACTCCGACAGAATTAGCACCCCCTTGCGTTTCTGCTGGGTTGCAACGTATTCGAACGACACTAGGTTCATCCCGTCGCGAGTCGACGACACGACACACGCGTCGGAGGCGGCATACAGCGCGATGAGCTCATCAAAGCTCACCGATTTGTGCATGAAGTGGATGGGCATGTAGTCGACCGTTCCTGAGTCAAGCTGTTAGCAGGCGCAAGAGGAGGATTGCATCGCCATTGCCAGTCTTACCGAACTTTCCGTTGATTCTGCCCACCAGCTCGTTCACCACGGCCCTCAGGTTCTGGTACTCTTCAACATCTTGCCGACTCGGGACAGCTACCTGTACCAGCACGACTTTGCCCACCCATTCGGGATGCTGGGAGAGGAAGACCTCCAAGGCGTGCAGCTTCTGGGGAATACCCTTGATGTAGTCAAGGCGATCAACGCTGACCATCAACTTGGTGCCTTGGAACTTGTTCTCAAGGCTCGCGATGCGGTTCTGCACCTTGGGGCTCTTTAGGCCTTCGGTGAACTTGTCGGGGTCAATGCCGATGGGGAAAGCTCCCACGGCAACAGATCTGTCCTTGAATTTGACACTGCTGGGGGTCGTGACCAATCCACTGCCAGGGACGTTAGCCTACATTCGGCCAGAGAGCAAGTGGTCACTTACAGGATATGGGAGCAACAGCTCAGGAAGTGACGCGCATAGTCATAGGTATGGAACCCGATCAAGTCACACTGCAACACGCCGCGCAGCAACTGACTCCGCACGGGCAGGATTCTATAGATCTCACTGCTCGGGAACGGAGTATGCAAGAAGAATCCAATGCGGATATTGTTCTTGCCCAAGGCTGCAAGTTCTTCGCGGAGAACCTCCGGAAGAAGCATGAGGTGGTAGTCGTGGACCCAGACAAGGTCCCCTTCCCGGGCCTCATGGGCGATAGTCTTCGCGAACAAACGGTTCGCCTCACGATACGCATCCCAGGCAGCTTCGTCGAAAACAATTTCACCGGGATGGTAATGCAAGAGAGGCCACAAGATTGAGTCTGATAGCTCACATTAGCAACCGTTAGGGACCTGTCGCGCCCTGCCAGGTGGCAGCCGCAGGAGATAGGTGCGGAAGCGCATCCGATGCAGGTGGAGAGGGGAATCACGACGATACGTACTTGAGAAGCCATTGTAGTGGCGATCTGCCAATTTGTCGTCCATGAACACGGGAGTGGCGTTGAACTCTTCCTGCAATCGCTGTTTCACGGAATCGACCTCATCTTCTGGTACTTCCAGTCCTGGCCAGCCATACCACTGGAAGGTCGTGGTCTTTGATAGTCCGCTCAAACCAGTCACCAGGCCACCAGAGGACATGGAAAACTCATATTTCCCACCCCCGGAGCGACGAATGGTGATAGGTAGACGATTAGAGACGATCAACAGGCGGTGATCGCCTTCGGAAGAATGACCGTTAGCAGCCATTGGGGGGAGAAAAGAGATAATGCAATTGAGAGCAGAGCAAAAGGGGTGTGCCCCGCTTTGAGGATGGTGGAGGATAAGATGAGTCAATTGAGGGGAATTGATAGGAGACTGCGAGATAATATAAGGGGAGTAGCTGGGAGGGAAGGGAAAGGAGGTGATGAGAAAGAGGGGGGGGACAAGACTAGCAAGTGGTAGTAGTAGTAGTAGTGTTGTAGTGTAGAGTAATTGGTGGTGATGGATGGAAAGTTGAAGGGGAAAGATTGAAGTGGTGATGGTAATTTTGGTTTATCTTTCAAGCTTTCCGCTTTCCATCTCATTTCGTGTTGCCCCTCACCATTTCCTCTTTGTGACTTCACCTTTTCCACTTCCCACTTTTTTCTTCTTCTCCTACTTTCTCTTCCTTCCCGTCTCCATCCCTCAATTACCCGTTCCTTGTCTGGAGGTGCCGGAATCATCATTGACCAACCCGGTGTTCCATGTGCTTCGGTGACCATTCCCATTGTCTGGCGGAAACAAGGCGCGCGTGCGCGACAGAGCGACCCAACGCCCGGTCGAATTGTCGAGAACCATCGCCAAAACGCTATCTTAGTGCCGGTGGAGAGACTGCGGATCCCACGGGAACCACAACGTCATTGATCTCATTGGTCTGCCCACTATAAGCTGCAAGGCTATAGCAGCGCTGCCAGGCAAGTTTTCTTGCGTCTTTGGCTTCATCTATGCCATGCATCGGGCTTGTGATCTGAGACCATAATCCTGGTGGCCTAGATCCGGGTCCCCGTTCCCCCCAATTTCCCCCCCTTCTCTCTTACTCTCCTGCCCTCGTTTGTTTTCTTTTTTAGCATCCCTCATGATGCGACTGGACTGGCATCTCTCTGCCCAAGACAAGCCCAAAGAACCTGCCCGAACCCCTCCTTCGCGCTTGGAACATGCCCCTCTCCAGTCACACCTTTTCCCCCGAAGAGCCCAGAATGTTCCTGTCATTTTCGCATGTGCTTCATCTCCCTGGTCTGGACGGCTTCCCCCTGGTCCAATCATCAACGTCACCACTCCCTGCTTTCTTCATCTTCTGGCTCGGGTGTCTAACCTGTCCCCGGGATTTTCAGGGTCGTCGCAATTCACTCTCCTCCCGTGACACTTAAGACATAGCTCCTGCCGTCGCATATCAAATCATTCCCACACCCTCTTTAGCCTCCCTTGGTCCGGACAGGAAAGAAATCAAATCTCCACGGATCATTCACTTAATTCCTCCGGGAAAAGCGGCACGCATAATTCCATACTTCAGCCTTTCATTTTCCTCCAGAGAACCTCCAAAGCTCCCCCCCTCAATTCCTTGTGCAATAGCCCTTGAACAATACAATAGGCTAGACTTTGTCGGTGTCACTTCACCCCAATGACGGTCTTCATTGCCTCACTGTATGTGTTTGTCCTTCTTCATCTCGCAGTTGATTGAGTTCTCACTCACACTGTCCAGCTTTCTCCCCTATACCATTGACTTTCAAGCTACCGAGTTGCGACATGCTCGGCGCAAGTCATCCAGTAGCTCTTCTCGCGGAGAGGGCCGAATCATAGGGCGACTAGCAGACACCAACAGGAAGCACCATTCCAAGAGCATAAGTCTGTCGCTAACTCCTGGCGCCACCACCGACGATGAAAGGATCTTCAAGCCCTATGTCTCGCGCGCTGCAGGTGAGATTCCGGCTGCAGATGATCCCAACGGCCCAGGCCCTAGCGAACCTCGTACCGTTTCCTGGGGCCAGAGCCGTAAGTTCAATCAGCCGCGCTTAAAGACTTCTCTTCACCCGGGTCCCTCCATCCTGAGCCGGCCTGGGCCAGGGGATGATGTGGACAACCCGCCCTATCTGGATGGTCCTGTAGATGTATTGAGCTCCGAAGAAGAACACGGGAGTCCCCGTGCTTTGCTCTCTGAGCTTGACTGGGTTGTCAAGGCAGCTGAACAGGGCAATGGTGGCTTGCGGAACGCCATCAATGCTGCCGAAGAAGCAGGCATGTTGACGGACAAGATGTGGGTGGGCACATTGGGTATGCCTACGGACTCATTGAGAGACGGCACGCGTGCCAGTATCTTCGAGACGCTGGAAGATGAATACGAGTCGCTTGCTGTGTTTGTCCGCGACAGCGAATTCGAAGGTCATTACACCCACTTCTGCCGGGCTGTCCTGTGGCCTGCTTTCCACTATCAGATGCAGGAAAGCCCGCGACACACCGAGTACGACGATTACTCCTGGAAGCAGTATGTCAAAGTCAACGAGGCATTCGCAAAAATCATTGCTGCATACTGGCGTCCTGGTGACAGCATATGGGTACATGACTATCACCTTCTGCTTCTTCCGGGAATGCTCCGGGAGAGGCTGCCAAAGGCAGAAATCGGCTTCTTCATGCATACTGCATTTCCCTCGTCGGAAATCTTCCGCTGCCTGAACGCTCGAGAGGCACTGCTGAAAGGGCTTCTCGGTGCGGATCTGATTGGTTTTCAGACGGAAGAGTACTGCTATCATTTTCTTCAATCTTGCATTCGCCTTTTGAGGTTGGAAGTCTCCGTTGACGGCGTACAACTCGACCGACGATTCGTCCATGTGAAGAATATGCCCATCGGTGTTGACGTCAAATCGCTCGACGCGCTGCGCAGGACTACACATGTGAAGGATTGGATCGCCAATATCACCTCTCGATACAAGGGAAAACATTTGATCGTCGCTCGTGACAGGCTCGATGCTCCGGGTGGTATCAAGCAGAAGCTTCTCGCTTATGAACTTTTCCTGAAGAAGTACCCTAAGTGGAGGGAAAAGGTATGTTCGGGCGAAGCACAATGCATGGTTTAATACATTTGATACTAACTAGCCCAGGTGGTCCTTGTTCAAGTCGCTTCGGCTTCTGAGCTGCCTGAATTGGAAGCTCAAGTTTCGAAAATTGCCATGAGGATAAACTCGGTGTACTCCAGCTTGACTCATCAGCCCCTGGTACTCCTGAGACAGGATATCAGTTATTCCCAGTTCTTGGCCCTCATGAGCGTGGCGGATATCTTCATGGTCACCAGCCTTAGGGAAGGCATGAACCTTAGTAGCCACGATTACATTCATTGTCAGGATGGAATTCTGGCATCTCAGCGTCATGGCTCTCTTATTCTGAGCGAGTTTACAGGGAGCGCTTCCCTCTTCAGTGGGCACGAACTTCTGGTTAACCCTTGGGATTACAAAGAGGTTGCCGATGCGATTAATAAGGCGCTTTCCATGACGCCCGAGCAGAAGGAGCGGAACTGGCAGTTCTTGCTTGAAAAGCAAACCCCTCACACAGCGATCGCATGGTTCAACTCATTCCACACCGCTCTGACTAATGCACACAGCACGCAGCTATCTCGTGAACTCAGCCAGGTGTCCCTTCTGTCTGTCAAGGCCGTGAAGGAGGCGTATGACAATTCCAGCTCACGCCTTTTCTTCTTGGAAGACGACGGCATCATTGCTCCTCAAAACGGATCTTCAACTGACCTAATCGCTCTGCTCGAGCGCTTGCTAGCAGATCCCCAGAATATTGTTTATGTGACGAGCAGCAAGAGTCCGGAGCAGCTTGACTTAGCCTTGGAGGCACTCTCTACCAAGGTGGGGTTGATCGCCGAGAATGGCTGTTTCAAGCGCGAAGTCGGCTCATACACTTGGAAAACGCTAGTAGACATGGAAAAGGCTAAGGACTGGCGGAACGGCATCCGCAAAGTGATCCAGTATTACCATGAACGAACTGAAGGAAGTGAGATGGAGGAGCGTCGTTGTCTCATGAACTTCTGCTACGAGCATGCGCATGATCCGGAGATCGCCGGGCGCCAGGCCTCGAGCCTAGCAGATCAGATCAACGGCACACGGGGAAGCGAAGCCATCCGCGTGGTCCTCAGCCAGGGCGCCGTGAGTGTCGAGCCTCTGGACGTGTCCAAGGCCAAAGCAGCCGAATCCGTCCTGCGGCAGTTACCCCGCACGCCGGATTTCGTGTTCGTCGCCGGAGGTGCGCGTGGCGACGAAGCCCTTTTCCGCTGGGCTAATCGCCTGCATGCTGAACAGATGATCCCCAGCGTGACCACCCTAACCGTGGGCTCTCACGCCACGGAGGCCAAAGCCGTGCCTCCCGGTGACATGAGCATGGCCGATATCGTAGACGCTTTTACTTCTCGGCCGATGACAAACGGCATGTCCAACGGACACACCAACGGACACTCCGCTGAGGATACTAATGGGCATGCAAATGGTCACCACCCCGAGGTAAATGGCGTGAATGGAGAAAGCCATGACTGACCTCTTCACCCTCCCTCTATTCTTCCACTACCCCATCCTTACTCCATTCCTTCTCGGGTGAACATGTAGCATCCATCCATCCTCTGACCCCTCCTTTCAGTCTACTGTTTTTTCCCTTCTTTCCCTCTTCCTCCTTTAACCTCTTCTCTTCTTCTCACATGTCTAGCTACCTCTTTCCTAAGTATGATATAACGTGTCACGGCGAATGATCATAATGTGTCCATCGGAAGGAAAACCCCTACCTCGATACACGATAATTATACTATACTATCCTTCCCTTACCAATATATTCTTAGTGTACTTTAAGAATGGATATTTGATATTCAATACCGTAATATATTCCTTCTTCCGTACTACATGCATCGTTACATAAGATAAGATAGTAATTAAGATATTAAGGAACACCAGATCCAATTGAATGTTTGATTGATTGATGATGATGATCTATTCAAAAACAACCAGACGAGTTTCCTACCTTACCTACTAACTAATTAGTCAGTTAGTTACCTATGGATCTTAACTACCTTCCCCCGCAGCGCAGCCATGGCCAGAGTCAATAGTCAGTCAATGAACAATGCAACCACTGCCTTCGCACAATAGGATGAAACCCCTGGAGAAAAGAAAACAGAATCAAAGGGGAAAAGGGGGTACTCGCGACTATGGAAAAAAGTAAACAGTAACCATGAAGAACACCAAGGTAGACAAGGGTTGTGGCTGTGGAAGAAAAGAAAAAAAGCGAGATGAGTAAATACATGGAGTAATCCGAGCCCCTCCCCACGTGAGTTGAGCCAAAAAGTAGTAAAGGTGAGAATAAGACGGATGAGGGGATGGGGTTGCAAGGTTACAGTGAATGCGCCAGAATAAATGGAGGGAGAAATGAATGCATGCATGCATGACCGGAACGCGTGGGTAATCTCTACCGGGATTTCCAGGAAGAAACCGAGACCCATCGGGATGAAGGAAAAAAGCAAAGTTAAAAAAAAGGGAAATGAAAGGGGACGTAAATCATCAGCAAGGGAATAATACTAATAATAATGATAATAATCGTAGCAACCAGATCATCCGGGCCCGCGTTTGACATTACACGGATAAAAAGAAGAGGTGGGGGGGAGAGCGATGAGGAACAGCAGATAATAGTTACACTTGGGCGACCAGATAAGGTACGTCTTTGTCAGGCGAGATTTAACCGCCCACGTCAGCATTGGGTGGCTCGTCACGCAATGTAGCAGACGGATTGGTGCCGGCTGATATCAGGGTCGGTGCAACCCGTCTCTTCTTCGGCTGTTGCTGATTCTGCTGTTGTGCCTGCGGAGCAGCGCTCTGATCTTTGTCGTCCTCCTTCTCAGATTCACCGGCTCGTTTGCCTAGAACACTGTTGCTGACATAGCTTGTCCCACTTTGGGAGGCCGCGGACATGGGGGTCTGCGGCGGGGTAGTGAGCGGAAGTGTCGGAGGCTGGGCTGAATGGGTTGCTGTCACCAGCGGCACAGATCCCAGCGTGGGCGTCGGGTTATTGATGAGCCTCGAGCTACCAGACTGTGTCGTAACCGAAGAGACAGAGTTGGACCGTGCCGGACTTGCAGGAGGTGCCTGGGTCGGATTCGCTTGAACCGCTGAGCTTGGTTTGGCAGTGACGGGCGTGGGGAGAGGCGTGTTATTGGCGGATGAAACGGCAGCTCCTGTCTGTTGAGCCGCTGATGCCGGAGCAACGTATGGTTGGCCCAATTCTCCCGGGGAAAACGCGAGGGTCGAACAGAACCCGTCTGATGAACTCATCATCAAAGTCAATCCGTCGTTTGACCTGGAGAGCACTTAGTACACCGGTAGGTGATCCTGTTTCTGATACTGAACTTACCATGTCAAGTCGGTGAATGTGGCAAAGTGCAAATTGCTAACGACACAAATCGGTGTCTGTTGCTGGGTATCATATACCATGACCCCATCCTGGGTCGCCACAGCATACACGATCCGGTAAGGTAACGTGAATACAGGTGCAGGACTCTGGCTTACTGCTCGATCCGTGGCCTTGGGAGTCGAGCTATTCTTCGCTTGGTCGTTTGGCGCCGACGTTGGGGGTTCCATGGAAGCATTGTCCCCTGTAGAGCTTACTACCGGCTCGGGAAGAGAAGGGAAAGATTCCTCCGTTGACGAGGTATCTAATGTGATATGCTTCGCAGGCTGGGGACCCTGCCGAAGCGTGTAAAACACGGGGGAGCATTTCACTGCCACAGAGGGCTTCTTGTGGCCTGGAAGATGGGAGATGGGAGGCTTGTTGAAGCCTGCACGAGTGTAGATGTAAACAGTATTAGTGATCTCATCTGTCGTCTTGGTCGGATCCGTAGCAGACACATGCGAAGTCTTGTATTGGCCTGCGGGCGTGAATAGCAAGCTACCATCGGGGGCAAATGTCAGCCTCCGGAAGAATGAGGTAAAAGTTTCATTCGCATATATATTGGCATTCTTCACGCCAAGGCCACCCAGCAGACCTGGTGAAGGTACTTCCAGTGGCTTGACTGCGGGCAATGGCAAGGATGGCGCTGGGGATGCCGATCGACGGATCGAGGGAGATGAGCCGAAGGATGAGCGTCGGCTGTGAGACACCGGTGGAGGATCCATGGGCAGATTTGAGGTCATCGGTGTGCCCGGGGTAGAAGGGGCAGGGGACACAATAGCAGCAGCAGCGGAGCTCGGTGCTGCGGGTTGGGAGCGAATAGAAGGATCTGGCGGAGCTGGGCTACTGGAGGAGATGCGTTTGGCAGGGAGATCCATCTTGAGGAATTTCCCATGGGAGGTGAGGGTGAATTGACCGTCCTTTGTTTTCAAGCTGTAGATATGGACAGAGCGATCTGACGACTGTGTCGCCACGAACTCATTCAGAGGATCCCAAGCTACACCTTGGACATAATGAGAGTGCTCAGCAATCTGGCGTACCATTTGACCTAGGTTTTTCGTCGTCAGCTAACGGTACTCCTCGAGGGATTCTGAGAGAGGAAGCTCACCTGTCTGAGCATTATAGATCCGAGCAATGTTGTCCATGCTCCCTGTGATGATGAACACGCCATCCGGTGACCAGGCGAGATCATAGATCTCTGCACCAGAAGATCGACACATGTGCTTTACGCGCCATGTTTCCTTGTCGTCCGAACGATCTTCACCCAGGCCCGATTGTGTTTGCAATTCCGATGGGACCCAGAGTAACACATTGCCATCATCTCCGGCAGATGCCAGCATCTCGCCTAAATCATTGACAAAGGCGAACAGTCAGAGACAAGATCGGGTATACGGGTCGAGGAGATATCTACCTTTAGGACTGAAACGGACCACATTCACGGCTTGGGTGTGTTTAATCAGTGTGCTCAGGTAGGTCACTTTTCGTTCTTCGCCAGTTGTCTCCACTTTCCATAGCTATGGTTGAGTGTTTGTCAGAGAAAAGGCCGAGAGGAGGAGTAATGAGGGGGAGGAGGTCTGGTGAGGGGGGTTTCGTACTCGGACGTTGTTATCACTAGGGAGGAGAAGCGTTAGCACCATAGACCCGGGACTCGAATTAACACAAAGAGTGGAATAGCATACTTGCCAGCCGTGGCCAGACGACCTTTGCCATTGGGGTCGAAATGGACCGAGTAGATGGGGGCATTGTCGTTGTGCCACGAAATGAGCAACGGGGTGGCCTTCATGGTGAGCACGGCAGCTCAATGAGGGCCCCTGGGGAGTAACGGAGAAGACTACAGCTCTTCTTGCGTGCAGGGGAAGAGCTTGATAATATTAAATGTTGGCAATGGAAAGGGTGTGAGATCGCCACAGCCAGAGAGAGCGAGAATGGGTAATGATCGGAGGAGGGAGCCGTTCGTAGAGAAGGTTAATTTATTGCTTTGGAGCAACGAGAGGAATCAATCGATCAATCAATCAATTAATGAGGTGCCGCGGAGCACAACCAGTGGAGGGACGGAGGATTCCAGTGGGGAGGCAGAAGAAAGGGATAGATCCGGTGAAGGTGGCCAGAGAGTGAGTAGTCACCAAGTTGTATTGAGGGAAGTTGAATGGGAAGAAAGAAGAAAGAGGGCCCAGCGACAGAGAGCCAAAGGGTCGTAGTGGTGATGTCGATGCTTCCCGTGTTGGTTTCGCTTCCTCGTGTCGCTCTGGCGTTCAACGCGCCCGGCGAATGACAGCCGCCCTGACCGTCAGCATCTTTCCTGGAGATGCAATCGATCAGCATTTCAACTCCTTCCCGTGGTTACAATGTTCTACATTTTTGGTACAGAGGTTGGTCTCCTGTCTTTATGCATGTCTTGAACATACCAAACGGTCGCTTTTCTACGTGAACTAGATTATATGATTCTGCTCAGGGTTTGTTGCAGATCAATCCCTCCTAGCTCAAAAGGTGTATAAGCGAGCAAGTATATCTATCCCCAGCGATGGTACCTGAGGGATCGCTCTCCTGCGTTTGCTTTAGGTTTATTTACTTTCATCGGCTTTCCTTGCATTCCTATTGGAAGGGTCAAAGAAGCATCCTGGGAATCCGTGGCCCTGCATGTCCATGCGTAACAACGTCGATTGTCGCAGACTCGCTTCTAAATCATAACTCCTACTGGAAGGGGGTGACAAATGGGGTAATCATACACAAGAGAAGAGAAAGATCCAGTCCATAATGGAAGCACCACGCATATGCTTTATGTAACCCAACGGCCAATCGTCTCGCCGAACCAACTGACGGCCTTCTCTCTGCGCTTTTGCCGTGCGTCCTCGTGTGTCTGCATAAATGGCGATGCCTCCTGTACGTACAATTTCTGTTGCTCCAGTTGCGCATTGTGTGCTCGGATCTCCAATTCTCGTTCATGTGGAGTAAGCTGTGCCAACGGTTTGGACGGTTTCAATCCTGCCGGAATCGTCTCACCTCCAGGAATCTCCAGGGCTCCTGGTGTGTTGGCCGGTGTCTGCGGTGCCTCTGCCTTGGGGTTGAAAAGAGAGGTGAGAGGCGGGGACTCCTGTCCGGCTTTCTGCGCTTCTTCGACCCGTTTCTCGTAGTCAAGCATCTGATGGTAGAGTTTATCGGCGTGCATCTGAATCCGTTCTTCCTTTTCCTCGTCCCAGTTGAAAGAGGAAGCGTATCCTAGGGCCTGGAGGAATTTCTGGATATTTGTCAGCATATACCGACCGACAACGGCTCCCAAACGTCGCAGGAAAAGAAAAGAGCCGGTTTAACTGCGCCTGCACTTACAGCCTGCGTGGTAAAACAACGAGAGAACTTAGCGTTTTCCTCAGAGCACAGAGTCACACGGGCGCGCAATCGTTTCTCCCAATTGCCAGTCTGGAAGCAGTAGGTCAAGTCCTCATGCTCCAGGGCGCAGTTTTCCATCGCCGCCCGGTGCACAGTATCACCGCGCTGCTTGTACTTCTCAATCACTCGCTCTGCAGTCTTCTGTTCCGTCGCTTCCTTTTCCTGGGGCGGCTTGTAGGTCTTCCAGAGATGCGCATAACGGCCATCTTGGAATAGAGAAGCGGAGGGAAGGGCGGGTTCGGAAGGTTCGGCGCTGACAGCTGGCTTCGTATCTTGGGGCACCGTCTTGGAGGGGTCCTGCGACGAGGGGACTGAGGTGGTTGGGACGTATTTCTCTGGAGCTTCATGCTCGAGGTATTCTCGCAAACCCGGGTCAAGCTTTTTGACCGGGTCGTCCTTGTTCGAGCCACCCCAAAACCAGCCCATGGTGTGAGTGCAGCAAAGGGTTCTTTTTCGGAAGAGTAATCGTCCAATTGATAGGCAGAATGCGCGGTTAAAGGGTGCGAGTATTGAGGAACATATGAAGAAGAACTGGCTGGAGCATGCGGAGACCGATCGACTGCAAAGGCACTTGACCGACCGCCATACCGCTTTAGTCTAAAGTGCAGCCCAGAGAGGAAAAGGCCAAAGATCGAGCCGGGGTTCGAACCCGAGGCATTGCCACTACCTTGATCTATCATTTATCGCGTCTTCGCGAATGCTTTCGACTGTATACCAAAGAAATGGTGGTATGAAAAAGAGTTCGACTTTGAGAAGGGAGACGAGAAAGCCATCTAGAGTCAATAGTATTTTTGAGTCATCTTTTCATGACAATACTGGCTGTGAATAACTGGTGTTTCCATCCATGATACTGGAGCATTTCGGGACCTGAACTTTGGCGAGTCAACTGTTACCCGACATTTATATATAACTTACAGCTTGTTGAAATGTGAAAGAAACCAGCGTCAGAACTTAACTTCATGATACTTGCCACAGAATCCGCAGTTGACAGTAACAAGTATCAAAGTTGCGTAACTCCGTCTGAAATTACGCTTTCATTTGACATAATATGTTTTGTCGGGTGTATATCCGCAAGTCCGTCAGATTTACCAGTATGCCAACTCAGCGTAAGTACTGATCAAGTAGTCTCGAGCAAAAGAGCCATCGTATCATAATGTTTTCCTGGAATTAGGGGAACTCTGTGCCCGTGAAATAGATCTGTAAGTGTTGCTTGTTCGAATTTAGAACATATCATGAAATGCTTAGAGATCCAATGTAAACATAAACTGCGGTTGTTCACGGGCACCCACATGGCGGGAGCATCGCCAACCCACCATTGGCCATCTCGGCGGGCGGCATCGCTCCATCATCACAGCTCCTCTCCATTCATCCACCATCGCCCGTCATATTCTCCCTCCATTATTTCCCCCTTCGCGTGAGGTTTGGCGCGTTGAGCTCGCCAGGAGCGCCGCCTCTCAACCATGGCTTCTAGTATGTTTGCATCAAACCTCCGTGTCCGCGCCAATGCTAATGGTGTTCCAACTATCCAGATCGAGAGGAGCGGCTGCAAATGCGGCAGCGCGGAGCAGCGTACGCGCATCACCATTCCGAACCCCGCGACGAATACACCCAAACTGCGATTTTGCTAACGCTGTGACTGCCTAATAGGTCACGTAAGACCAAGGCGATAGACTTTGGGTTTTCCTTTGGCCTGCCCACTGCCTCCGATGAACCGTCTCAATCCACGTCGCGACCGGACAATGTCGGTATTTCACTGTTCCCTCCTGCACCACCACCGGCCTCGACAACGGATACTCCTGTAAACTCGACGGCGCCGGTATTAGCAACGGAACCGGAGATCACACAACCTCCACATATATCGCCGGAGAGAAAGCTGTCATCGCAAGAGGGGCATATTCGCCGAACACCAGGAAGCGCGCGCAACAAACTCCCGCCGCGTCCGTCGCCTTACGATCTACCTACGGAAGATCCGCCGGAAGTCGGTCCTAGTCGTAAGATTAGGAAACTTGGTGTGTAATTAGATAATATGATGTGCTACAGGATGCTAATAGGCCAAAGATCATCCCAGAAGAACTTCGACAATATCATTCAGCGCGCGGAATGAAGAGAGTTCGCAGCCCCTCAACAATGGCGTCGAATCAATTGCTGCAACCCAGTCGCCTCCCAAACCGACGAGTCCACCTATTACCAATGGCACACAACATCCTCAAGGGATACCGTCTACTACACCTGTTGTACAGGAGGATCCCACACAAATACAACCACCGCAGTCAGCAGAGCCTGTAGGACCTGACCATGCCACGGAACCGCCGCCGGAATCCCAACAAGAACCCCAAGCGAAAGCGACGCCTTCTCCGCCAGGCGAGAAAACAAGAGACAAGCGCAAGAGACGTACATCCCAGGATAGTGAAGCTTCTTCGCGCCGTTCGCCGCGTCGCTCTCCGCGGGGCTCGCCACAAAACGCCGCGAGCGCCAAGGCAGCAAATGTGGAAGATTCGCGGGTGTCAGAAGCAATGGATATATCACAGGACGGGAAGTCACCAGTCACAGCGTCACCGAAACTTGCTGCGCTTGATGCTACCGGGAGCAAACAGGCCGAGACCGAGCCTCAGGCTACTAGTGAAGCGCAGATACCCGCAGCGCAAATACTCAGCGAAGAACATACCACAACTGCAGGCGATACCACACAACAAAACATTGTTAGCGAGGCTGAAGCCACCGGTTCTCCAATTACTACCCAACCTCAAGAGGCAGCTGAGCCTCAAGATGCTGTCGAACCCGAAGAGACGAATGGCATCGAGAAAGCGGCCGAGCCTAATGCTACTACAGCACAGACAAAGTCTCCAACACCTCCAAGAGCCAAACGAACGAGAGGCCAACGTGCAGCATCCGTTCAACCGCAGTCAACAACTGCCAAACAGTCTAGGCTGGCCAGAGCCGGCTCAGCAGAAAGCGCCCCGGCTCAAGGTATGGAGAGAAAGAGGCTTCGTGGACGTATCGCGAACGCCCAGGAGCCTACGCCCGACATTCCTACAATAGAAGAAGAACCCGCCGATGACACTGGCGTGAATATTTCATCCCAGCCAAAGGACGATCTTGTGGCCAACAAGGGAAGTCGGCAATCACGGCTGCCAAGACCTACGGTGGAAAAGAAGCCGACGCGCGCTGGACGCCCCGGAAGAAAACAGGCACGATCACAGGATATCCAGGAAGAAGTGCCTTTGCCTGAGCAAGAGGCGCAGCAGCCGGAAGAGCAGGAGCCTGAGCCTGAGCCAAAATCCAAGGCCGTCCCAGAACCCGAAACAGATCTACAGCCGGAAGCAGCGACAGAACCCATGCCATCAAGGCCTGGCAGACGTGGTCGCGGCAGGAAACCATTGCCAGAGACTACCGTCGATGAAACACAGGCTCCTAACGAAGAACTACCAGCACAAACCGAGCAGGCTGAGCCTGAAACAGAAATACAATCGGCACAACCAACAGGATCTTCTAAGCCTGCCAAACGTGGTCGTGGCAGGAGACCGCTGTCAAGGAAAGAGAACGATGCAGCGCAAGCTGAGGCAGTCGAGCCGGAACCTGTACCAGAGCCTGAAGAAGAACCACAGCCCGAGCCTCCAGCGGAGCCCGTACCGTCCAGGCCTGCCAAACGTGCTCGCGGCCGTAAACCAGCGTCAAAGGAGAATGCTGAGACAACACCGGCTCCGGATGAAGAAGCTACAGCACAAGCAGAGCCGGCGGAGCCCACCGAAGAAGCACCTCCACCTAAGAAGCGCAAGCCCAGACAGCCTCGGGGAGAAACAGTGCCAGTAACTGTCCATCGCTTCGTGAACGCCGCTGTACTTGGAGAAGGGCCAGAACCAGAGGGATCATCGGACGAGGAAGAGGAGTCAGCCGAGGGACTCGCAGCGAAAGAGAAGACCAAGCTTGTGAGCCGAGGCGGCGTCAACGCAGCAGACGTACTAAGCCAGATCTGCCGCGAGACATTAGAAAAGACGCTTGCAACACTCAAGAACGGGATCGCCAATGAAGGCAACGCCGCCCGGCGTGCAGAATGGACACGCAAGAAGAAGGCCGTCGAGGCCTACGGCACGGAACTTGAGGGCCGTCTTTTCGAACTGAGCGAAATGCTCGACAGTAACTTTGTCCTCGGACGCCAAATTAAGAAATCCAAACGGGAGATGATGGATCTGCGGAGCCGACTATACCGCGTCCGGAAGGAACGAGAGGAAGTGGCATTGCAAATGGACGCCGTACGGAGGAAGCACAGCGAGGAAGAGAATGCCAAAATGGTAAGCAAGCAAGCAAGTTACCAGATATACCCTAAGCGTTGCTAACAAACTCCGCACTAGGCCCGCTCAACCATCAACAACTCCCTCCACAGTCTGGATCTCGCCCTCGAGCGCAGCCGCAATCGCCCCGTCGACGAATCCACCTCCCAGAACCCCGAACCTTCCTCCACAGCCGGACTGGAGTTCCTTGTCCGTAACGTTGCGGAGAACGTGAGCTCCATCGCCCCCGGAGCTCAAGGCGGTCTGTTACATCAGATCAAGTCATTCAACGCACAGCTCGAGGCTACTGCGCGGAGACTTGAGAGTTGATTTATTGATAACTCGATATGAGTACTTGTCTAACCTCTTCATTCATATGTTCGTTTGTGTGATGATTGTAAAGCTGTGTCTGTGTCTGTGTCTGCGTTCTTTTGTTCGAATAAATACCCCCGGCATTGTTGTCTACGGAGTGAGGGTCATGTTCTTTGCTAGTTGGATAGGAATAGGAATCAGAAGGATAATACATTAAATGATGATGGATAGATATATCCAGCCATACACCACCACCTTACAAACTACAACACAATGAACAATAAACCTATCAATTACCTTTGTAAAAATAAGTAGTACTTGCCAACAATTACATCCTCATCGTCACCACCATCATCACCTCAAACCCCCATAAAATAATTACATTAACTAAGATAAACACCTATAACCAAGCAACCTGTGAATAACTAATCATTTCCACCTCCTCGGCTTAATTATATTCTTATTATTATTATTATCATCACCTCAAACCCCCAGAAAATAATTAGATTAACCAAGATAAATTATAACTAAGCAACCCGCAACTAACTAATCATTTCCACCCCCTCGGCCTAAGCAAAGTCCGAGCAAAGGGAACCAACCGGTCTCCGCCCGTAAATCCGGGAGAGTACTACTTAGTACGTAGCTACAAAGTAAGGTTAGTTAGTTAGGTTGTTGCATTTGTCAGCTAACGTAAGCCCATCCATGTGGCCGCCACCCGCAAATTCAACCATATGTGGGGCTGAGAAGAAATTCTGCAGGAATTGTTTGTTTCTTTGTCTAGTAATGTTTAGTCTGAGTCTGGTTAGTGCTTATGTTGTGTAGATTAGCAATTGTTAGATGGGATTGTTGGGTAGTTGGTGTCTTTTGCCTATCTTCTATACTAGGGTTCTATGTTTTCGATGTGGTATGTATGTCTGAAGACTAGATACGTAGAAAGGGGTCCATATGATCAATATAATGCTGTGTGTTGCTCTTGTGTTTGGTTCGGATCAGAATGTGCCGATGGATCCGTGGAGAGAAAAAGAGAAGTTCATGCAGGGTCTTCTTCCTTCGTTGTATCAATGTCAATGTCAACTCCGGGAAATAGTTCAATCTCGTTGATGATAGATTAGGATATCATTCTCGAAGGATTTCTGTCTAACTAAATGTAGATTTGACTTTTTTTTTTTCAATCCCTCGAATTGTATGTAATCGCAGCGATGCTACGCTACATTCCCATATCTTCTCCCTGATTAGAAATCCAAGGTGTGGATCTTCTCTCCATCTGGTTCCATTAATTTTTTTTCTTTTTCCCTTTCCCCTTTGATCCCTCGCCTCGTCCCGAGATATGGGTTGTATGGTTATGGCGTGCCACAAGAGATTAGTAGTTGTTTCCAGAATAAATATCGAGCCAGTGTGGCCCTGTCTTTGGGGGTATATAAGTAACAGCTTTCATCTCCTCATTCCTCTCTTCTCTTCTGTATCAATATACAAATCTTTCTCATATAGAACAGTCGTTCATATAGACCATCACCATCATCATCATCATGACCAAGTTGTTCTCCCCCATCCAGGTCGGCCGCATGCCCCTGGCCCACCGTCTCGCCATGGCTCCCATGACTCGATTCCGGGTCGACGACAACCACGTCCCCCTTGACCTTGTGACGCAGCACTACGAGCAGCGTGCTGCTGTCCCCGGAACCCTCTTGATCACCGAAGCCACCATCATTGCACCCAATGCTGGCGGATTCCCCAATGTTCCCGGCATCTGGAACGATGCGCAGATTGCGCAGTGGCGCAAGGTGACCGACGCTGTTCACAAGAAGGGCTCGTACATCTACATGCAGCTCTGGGCCCTGGGTCGCGTCGCCAACCCGCAATTCCTGAAGGCCAACGGCAACTATGACGTCGTGTCTAGTAGCCCTGTTGCTCTCGACGATGGCCCCGTTCCTCGCGAATTGACCGAGGCGGAGATCCACCAGTACATTGCCGACTATGCGCAGGCAGCGAAGAATGCCATTGCCGCTGGATTTGACGGTGTCGAGATTCACGGTGCCAACGGGTACTTTATTGATCAGTTCATCCAGGACACCGTTAACAAGCGTACCGATGCCTGGGGTGGAAGCGTTGAGAACCGTTCCAGATTCGCTCTTGAGGTTATCCGTGCTGTGTCTGATGCTATTGGCGCGGACCGCACTGCTATCCGCTACAGCCCTTTCAGTACTTTCCAGGGTATGCGCATGGATGATCGCATTGCTCAGTTCACACACCTGGCTGAGAAGACCGCCGAGTTCAAGCTGGCCTTTGTGCATCTTGTCGAGCCACGCATCGCCGGAAATGCCGAGAGGCTGGCTTCGGAGGACGAGTCTCTGGATTTCTTTGTTAAGGCGTACCGCGACGCTAGCCCTCTCGTTGTTGCCGGTGGCTACAAGGCTGATTCGGCAAAGGAGGCGGTTGATGTGCAGTACAAGGACCACGAGGTCCTTGTTGGAATTGGCCGCCCCTGGACGGCGAACCCCGACCTGCCGTTCATGATCCAGAACAATGTTCCTCTCCGCCCCTATGAGAGAGAGGTCTTCTACTTGCCCAAGGACCCCAAGGGTTACGTTGATTATGACTTCAGCGAAGAGTTCAAGGCCGTCAAGGTTGCTGCTTGATCGGGTCAGAGATTATGATTCAAACTTTGTGGCATGATCGTTGAGCGCTTGCATATAGTATATTGATTTCATTTGTATATATCATAATAGACATGACATGAATCTTCTTCTTAGCTCAGTGTTTATACTGTAGACCATGTTAGTACCGCTAAATTTACCAAAAAGATACGCGCTCACTCTAAACTCAAGGTTCTCCTTGTCTGTAAGGTCCAAAAACTCGGAATTCTCTTCATGTTGGAGCCCTGCACACTTTCTATCGCGTCGTCGGTTCTCCCAGATGTAGTAGCACTTGAGAGCCACGGTGAACACTATCGCAACAGAGACAGTGGCCACAATGGCGACCTTAGCTGGCATGTACTCTGGCTCGTCCTCAGTGCGAAACGACAACGGGCCTAGTATGTTGCCCAGACAGAACGCCATCAGAACGATTGCATTCATGGTCACTTTCTTGGTATGACCGGCGACATTCGCGCCGACGGTAGAATAAAGCAAGGGAAGTGCTGAGCCCACGCAGTTGGTCAGGTAGTTTCCTGCCAACTTGGCGCCTTTGTTGTCACTCGGAGCGAATGCCATGAGACAGCCTCCAAGGAGGCCAGAGCATAGAATGCCGATGATGCAGAAACACCGCTGGTCGAAGCGGCCTGCTAGGTATGTACCGAGTAGGATGCTTATCACGCTGACGACACCGCCCGGTATCGTAAGTAGCTCAGTCTCCTTGGTGTCGAATCCGAAATTCTTGATGATCAAGGCCGAGAAGCTGCTGATGGCTGCATTACTGATATTCCCCGAGGCAACTATTATAGCGATCAGGTAGGTCTGAGGGTCTTTGAAAGCCTCGAAGAATTGCTCCCATTTGAAATGCTTGTTCTCGATACCCGTCCGATTCTCGCGAAGACGCTCAATTACCATTAACTTCTCTTCATGGCTGAGGCGAGACTTCATAGGATTGTCTGGGAAGACAACAATAACTGTGATCCCAACTGCGATAGTAATGAGCCCGAAGATCAAGAACATGATCTGCCAGGAGTAAAACTTGTCTCCTTCGTAGAAAAGCAGCCCGTATGCAACGAGGGCGCCTAATATGGTCGCGGTACCTGTGCCCAGGTACCAGAAACCGATGCGCTTAGGTTGTTCTTCACTAGGTTAGTGAATATGAATTGATCAGCGGGGTTTATTGCATACCGTTCCTCTTGTACCACATGGAGGTTATCAGAATCAACCTAATCTCGTTAGGCAAGTCCTTGATATGTCAGATGGTGTCTTACGCAGGTGCTACAGCACTTTCGAAACATCCTAGGAGCACTCGAAGAACGACGAGTCTGGGAAAGTTCTTCGCAACACAATTCAGAGTTGTCAAAAGGCCCCAGAGGGTCACTTATTCGTCAGCATCGCCGATATGGGATGATTGAGTGTCTTACCATTCATTCCCAAGTACTTTGCAGTTGGCAAACGCTGCATGAAATACCCAGTTGGAAGTTCAAAGAAGAGGTATGATACGTAGAATGCCAAAGCGAGGTTTGAGAATTGGTCTGTCCGCATGCCAGTGTCATCAAGAAGGCCCATGACCGATGCATAATTGACTGCAACCGTTTAGCTTCTGGGTCGAATCGAGCACGCTGTCGCGACACACTGACTTAGAATTTTGTCTAGGTATTGCAGAAAGTAGATCGCCCACATTAGGGGCACAACCATCCAGTCGATCTTGCGAACCAGCCTTTTCTCATCGATATCAGAGAAAGTTGCTACCTCGCCAGCATGAAGGTACTCCAGTGCTGCATCAGCCTGGCCAAGAGATACATGACCGTCGACCTTCGATTCGGTGTCAACTGCACTTGTGGCGACCAACTTGTCGTCTTTTTCTGATGTAGAAACTGTCATGGTTTCCGCCATACTCCTCATCTGATGATGGTCCTTGATGGTTGTACGCAGCTGAAGATTACTTTGGCAAAATGAGATACTTCGCAGGTGAAGCCATCTCTCTGCACCTTTCTTATACCCCACTGGCTTTCAAAGGCTTGGAACTGCTATCGCTCTGATAACCTGATATGCTTGTGCAAGCGCCTGCCAATTGTGAAAAGGTGATGTGCTCGGCCGACTGATTGCACATCCTGATTGCTTTGATTGGTCCCCAGATTTGGTCTTAATCAACTAGCGGCTATTTAGCAACATGAATTGGGATTGTTTGACCCCTTCGAAGATTGATAACCCCGCGGGCTTCTATATCAATCAGGATCTGATCAGGCTATTGGAGGAGCCGATCCCTGCAAAAGCTCGAAGCCTCCCATATAGCTGAATCTACGCAGCCGATATCGTTGCTTGACTGTGAGTTCTAATAGATAATGGGCAATGAGCCACGTATGAGCACACTTGTAAGTCATAGCCAGCTTTGAGTGACAGCTGGCCGGTCGATATCAATCAGCATCACCTGACAGGCGGCGCGCAATGCACCTTCTCTTTGAAGTTAGTCAGGAAATAAAGATACTGGTAGAGATTGATATCACTGATAAAGACCCTGAATGTCAAGACCATTAGGATGATCGCTCCAGAAAGAGAAGGTCGTAAGCCGGTTTTCACGGGGATATCGTGTCTGCAGCTTATCAACCCCGCACGACGCGAATCTATCAAGATAATGGCAGACACCTTATCACTCTTCGACGCATCGCGTCCTCGGATCTTCTTTCGACAATAAGTCTAGACTGCCCAGTTACCAAGTCATGGCTTAATGAAATGTGGTAAGGTCCATCTAGGTGCGGTGCGACCGAGGTAGAGCATAACAGCAATGCAGATAAATCAGAATGCATGGATGCAACCATAGATTCTATGCTGCTAGTATGTCTTTCAACTTCTGATTAGTACACTCAGAGTCATTGTGATGCAGTTCGCCTTCGCGTACTCGCTTCAGCAGAGCAAGATCACAGTCGACGCAGCAGTTTTCGGCAGATACCATTGTGGCGATGGTATGAGCTATGAAGGTATCTTATTCTGCATCTTGAGTTGTGCTGGCTGTGGGAGAGTCAGTAAGCGATTAAGAGAAGAGAGTTGCGATCAAAAGTGGGAGTGTTGATGGTCGGCGAGTTCTTGCTTGTTTTGGCTGTTCTGTTGTCTGGTTGACATGCACGTGCTGCATCAGCAAAAGCAACAAGCAAATCCCGATCACTGCAGCTCATGATCTTCGGAGCAGCATCTGGTCTATCAACAAATTTGTCATTTTACCAATCGGTCACCATGCCACTATCGAGTCGGTGAAGCGCATGAAGAACGACAGTTCGTCTCGTAGGCTTCTCAACACCCCGCCGCTTTCCTACTATCGAAGGATAGAGCCGAGGAATCCACTTGAATTCCACTTGGACCCTCGATAGTCATTGAGGCCAATTCCGTGATGGGCGCTGCCTCTGCTGGTGAGGAAACCGGAAGGATGCCAGACCGCTTCTTCTGTAGATCTTCCTCCCCACATCAACAAACACCATCACTCGATCCAACCATCATCCCACCAAAGATCGTCACAGACGCCGGCTGTGATTGACTTTGAACGAATTGTGACTATGTTAGCTTGCCACCTGGTTGGCATGTGGTGATGGGGCTAAGATAGCCCGAAGGCGCGTGGGTGAAAGACAAAGATCTACAAGGCGTCGTGCTTAGACGGCACGGGATTGATTCTAGCAACCCATCTAGCCATCTACTGACTAGTAAATGAAGATTACCTGCTGTTTTTGCTTTGTTGCATGAACTATGGAGCCGTGAGCATTTGGACTGAGTTCTGCTTTCGCTTCAGATTCGAAGATTCTACTCGAATGTGGACCGGCTCAACCTGGCCACGGACAAACCCGGTTTCCTGCCCCAGCCGCCTACTTTCCCCAACCTCGATACAATGACCATTGTCCAGGACCTACTCCACCAGCTGTAACTCAAAAATGGGCGTAGCAGAGATAACGAAGGTGGAAGAAGAGCAGGAAAAAAAATACACACACAATAATTGCATCATTGTCGAATATCGAGTGGGTTCTAAACCTGGAGTGAGCAATACGGCAAGTGTACTATCAGAAGCACTGCCGGGACTTCTGGAACCGTCTCCCAGCCAGTCATATCCGAGAATTCAAGTTACCGCATCTCCGCAGGCGGGGACCAGGCTCAAGAAGGACAAAGAGAAGCCTTCGACGAAAAAAGCAAGAAGAACATGAGAATGTGGAATATCCCCTCCAAGCTACAGTGGACCCCAATACGAGTCCTTCCAAATGTGGCGCATAGCTTCTTGGAAGGAGAGCTCCAGATTTATTCGAACTTGAACGTAAGATTTTGGTTTGTTTCTCCGCTCCGCCGAGCCGAGGGTATAGAGCAACACGTCTCATCATTTGTCGATTGCCCAGGCAGGATCTATACCAAGCCACCTCTGCCACCTCTACGAAGTGGTCGCGGGGAACGGGAAATCCCCAGACCCCAAGAAGAACCCAAGGATGATGGCCATCCACAGCCCAATTTCCAGGGTCTCGGTACCAGCAGCGTGGATGTGGAACCGACCAGACAACAAACAAGGGCGGTCCGGACGCAAGGAACATCATCCATGGTTTGACCTTGCAAATGCTGCTCTACGAGGAAGTCTCAGAAGCTGTGCCCGATTTGTCATCTCTGAATCCGTGAGATCACCCGTAACTAGCGAAATTAGGCGTCGGCAGCGTTAGAGAGCATCATGTCAGCTCGATCAGCAATATCAGATTCAAAATCCCCTCCCTCCGATAAGCCGTCGATCCCCCTCACTTCTCATCATCCCGTGACCTTGTAGGCTGTCTACCCCAACATCCCATGCAACCACGATCCACGGCCGTGCCCATTGCCCACCATCAATAGTCAGATCCTTTGCCCAGACAGTGGATCGTCGACAGGGTCATACTCATTTCAAGTGTGTGGCCCGTACCAGGATGCAATGAGTGGATGTCCTTCCCAAAGTAGCATGTCTGCACACAGGGATATCCCTTGAACCGTATCCGAAAAAGAAAAGAGGAAATGCCTACCAAAGTATACATCTCAAGCAAAAGCAACTCCTCAGCTGCATCTACGAGTCCAAAATTGGAACACAGTGACGTGGACCACTAACGCACCAGGATCCTGCAATTCCCCCGCAGAACCAACAGATAGGCAACCAAGCAGATACTCCACGGGATTAAGCAATAGAGCTAAGTAATGCACCACGTGGGTGTGCACATGTACATGGTACATATTCTCCCACCTATTTTGTGTGCTTATTCTGTGTACCATGCGGAGAAATAGTACTTCTCCGAATACCAGTATATGCAGGATTATTCCCCTCATCTGCTACTCACACATCACGAAACATGATATTCACATCTATGAGGGGTAAGTAGGATGCAAATACATACACAAGCTGCATAATCAATCCCATTAATAGAATCTAAACAATACACCAGAGTGCAAGTCACACATGTGATAAGAAAAAAGAAAAGAAATAGACCGAAAATTAACATTCAATAGATTGGAAAAATCTTCCGTCACACGGACATATACCACCAGAAAAATATATTTATTTTTTTACTTGTCCGATAGAATTACATCATACTACTGAAACCTTTTTCAAACTCAAGATAATCAATAGTACTACTGTGCTAAAGAGTAGATAGTAGATAGAACCCGATACAAACTTTGAATCCCTACAAGGCATGATAAACCTAGAATAGCATTTACAATAGTACTACTACTACTTAGAAAATATAGAATGATTGAAATGAGTGAAATCGGTCAGATGGGATCTTCACGATCTACTCTGTACGAACAGGGTTACCATGTCAATCACCACATTTTCTCGTATGTATGAATTCAACCTGATCACAAATAGCCATGAATGAAAATAAGTAAGAAAACAAGAAAAAAGAAGATATCATCCCTCCAACATGCTCAAGACGGCAAGAAATAATACTGCGGCCTATTCCGACATGATGGTCTAAGCTTTACGTGTGCTTCTTCCTCCAAGTAACTAACTAACTACTACTGATAATCCAACTGATGTATTAATTTCCCACAACCAAACCAAACCAAACCAATTATCTTCTCTCCCATTAAGAGTACAACCTGGACCAGCAGATAGATTACCTACATTAGTCTACCCCCTCCCCCCTCTGTTAAATGAACATGGTAAGCACTAAAATAAAATAACCAGACATTTATCCTACTAAAGAGTGTGTGAGACACATCCCGACACGGGTAAATTGCTTCTCAGGCCTAATTCCGCCTAGACTCAATAACTACTAATACGTATTGATTGAAGGTGTGTGTGATAATAATAATAATGATAATAATATATTGTAATATAACAAATAATAATATAAATGGGGAACTGGAAACTAAACGTACTGCGTAATATCATATAATAAAGTAGCCTAGCCGACAAGACAAAGACAAAGACAAAGCGATGGATTCGTGCACGTGCAAATTGCTCACTAGGTAGATATTCTTTTTGACTATGGAGATTGACTTTATCCACTGTTAAGCAGGCATATGAAGCCATCTTCCATCCATCCATCCAACCCATCGTGGGTACCGCACGGAGTAGGTTTTTTTTTTTTTTGCATCTAGCAATTCTAGTGAGATGGAGTAATTGCCGGCCCGGGATCCCGTAGGCTGAATGAAGATGGATGGGTGTGGTCCACTGTCCACACCATTCATCGCTTCTCTACTACTCACTACTCTCTCAGGCGAGTCCATATCCATCCATCTCTTTAGTATCTACAAGTGGCACCATAAGTAAAAAAACTAGTCTTGGGCCCCGCCGCACAAGCTGAACTGAACGAACCGCGACCGAGCTTTTTTTTTTTTTTTTTCACAAAGGAAAAGAGAAAAAAATCTTCCTGTATTTTTTTTCTTTTTTCTCGCAGAGTTCAGATAGGTGGATAATTTATTTGTTGGGACAAGGGAATGCAGGAATGAAATGATTCGTTGAAGTGGCATTTCTTGGCTGCAGGATTTAGTGCCATCATTGACCGGAGCACGATCTAGAGCGGAGCCAAAGCGCAGGTTTTTGAGTCCAGTGAGAGAGAGAGGGAGGGAGTCATACGAGGATTGGATTGGACTGGACTGGACTTGTATCTATCTAGACTAGTAAGTAGTCTAGATACGGATTACTACGGCGTGCTAGGTTGGTTGGTTTGGTTGTGGCTCCGTCTTCGTGCAGCGACCTGCATACTGGTCTCGCCCTGCAGAGCATTTGCCGGCAGCAGCGTCGTGGTCGAGGTCGTCGTCGCTAGGAACAAGCTTCCCGGTCGGAGACGAGGAAAAGTCTTAGGAAGGAATGGGATGCGAACTAGGTAGACTAATCGCTCTAGAAGCAATTGGCTTCGTTTGTTGCTGGAGAAACGCCGCTCGCTCGCTTTTTTTGAAGAAAACCCTGCAGGAAGAGGGAAGAAGGTTTTTGTGTGTGTGTGCGTCGTACCTGGCATGCTGGCTTGATCCCTTGGTAGCTAGCAGCTAGCTAGTAGATGGTAGTGAGAGAGAAGAACAAGAGAGAAATTTTTACGGCTTACTTACCGACCCGAACTCCGTGGCTGCCGAGGTACGTACACAGTTGGGAAAGGGAAATAAATAAATAAATGAAAAAGCAAGTGTTGTGCGAAACTAGTAGTAATGGCTAAAGTGAAAGCAGCTCTTTGGCTAAAATGATTACTTGAGTAGTATACGGAGTAATTGTTGGGATAGCTGTCATGATAAGCTCGAGGTTCATTACTTTTTGACAGCTTTGCTTTTCCACCTTCAAAAGACCCGACTGATTAACTATTGAATGTTTAATTTACAATCTGACTAGCTTAACGGACATTTGCTCAGGGATTACCCTCCTGTCAGTGTCAAAAGTGTCAAAGGGGGGTTCATTTTAAATGACGATGAGCAGTGGGAGACTGGGTCCCGGGTTAATTTGAGCTTGTTCGTACGCCATCAATTGAGGCTGTGGACGGGAGAGCAGGCAGGAGAGAAGGGAGAGAATAGGGGGGGCAGAGCTGGTAGCTGCTTCAGGGAGCCAACTCGGAGACGCGGCTGGCGACGTTCCGAGTTTGAGCTTGACACGAACAGGCAAAGAAAAGAGAGAGAGTGAGTGAGTGAGAGAGAGAGAGAAAATCGGCGACGCGGCAGAACGGTCGCCAAGAGGCGCTCCAAGTGGGGATGCGTCCCTTTGTGCCGCGACGAAACTGACCGAGAACGGAGTCTATCCCCAAACCTCTCTGTAGATATTTACTGGATCCAGAATCGTTGGTTCTGTCTGTCTGTCTGTCGGGTGGCATCCGCCACCGCCGCCGCACACGGGGAATCTACCCATCTGGAGCCGATGGGGGTCGACCCAGACGGAAGTGTTCGTCTCGTGTCTAGCAGTATCTAGTCTGATGTAGCATGAAGATAGCTGCTCTCTAGGTTGAATGCTGATCCTGTCGATGGCAACATCGTACTTTTATTTTTTACTTTTTTTCATTTTTCATTTTTTTCCTTCTGGTTGCGCGGACAATGACTGATAATGTCGCATGTACCGGAATTATGCTCAACGTCACGGCGATCAACGGAGAGAAGGTTCTCCGTAGTTTCCACTGAAAACGAACCAGCTGCTCCTGCTCCGTACATTGAGTCAGGATACCTATGATAAAGAGTCAGATTTCAGATAGATATCCTGCAGAAAAGAAAAAAAAATAATTCCCTCATAAGCAATCTCAAAAGGAAGATTAAGCATATTGAGTAGAACCCACACAGCCGCGTTGCCTGCATCTCACACTGCATCTAGTCAATGTATTAAGGGCGCTTGGAGAGAACGGTATGACCCTTCGGTTTGAGACTCGGAAAGCTTCAGATTTCGGGCCCGGTCCCGTTCCCTCAGCCCCCCCTACCCACACCTGGGATCATTCAGTGATTGCTCAGCAAGCAAGCAGTAAGTAAGCAAAAAGCAGGTACGGTCGCGGCCGGGTCAGCTAACAGAACTACTAAACCTCAGTTAGGCACAGGCCCCGGCGCAGGAAGTAACTTAGCAGTAGTAGAAGTGATGCGAGAGGTAAGGGCCCGCAATCGCCGCACCTGCCAAAGCAACTGTACTACTAAACTACTACTTACTGTGTACTACTACTCTCCACCAGTCACCCAGCTAGGACTTCTCCAATGAGCCACAGCGTCCAACTAAAAGTAGACTAATCCCTTAGCTTGTATGGGACCAGAACTGGGTCATCTTCGGTCGGGTCACACCTCCTTGCGGCAATGGAGGCGTGGGCTCAGCTTTTCGGGTTAGATGCTACTTGACCATCGTGCAGTGCAGTTTAGATCGGACGGAAAGGGAAGGGAACTGCTGGGGTTGTTATTATTGTTGGATGGAATGAACATTTTTTTTTTCTTATTTCTCATCTCTCTTGCAACAGATCCAACGATAGACAAGAGACATACCGTCACCGCTGTTACTCTGGGTGACGGACGGATGGGATTCAAAAATGAGAAATTCCCACGAGAGTCACATTACTGCCTCAGTTACTAAGTACTTACTGCCCGCTTGGGGTGACATCCAGTAATGGAAGTGACAGCACAGCTTCCGCGGATGATCCGGTTGGAGACTGATGTTCGTATGTAATTAATTTTACCCGTACCCTTTTGGAGGAGGGAACAGCCGCACCGTTTGGCGATCGATTAGTCGATGGACTACGAGGGACTACTACAGAACTACTAGTAGTAGCGAGGGTGGCTGGTAAACGAAGAGAAAGAAAAGAAGAAAGGGCCACATCATACGAGATGACAATCATAATCTATAGAGCCCCATAAATGATATACATAAACATACAAGGATTGTAGAATAATCCAGACCATATGGCATGAGACCTGGAATGTACATACTACGTAGTAGGTGCTTATTATTGCAACAGGAGAGAAAACAAATACTGCTAAGTTAGCAGTCAGTTGGAGAGATACACAACACAACACTCCAGCTCAGCAAAAGATACATCCATATTACCGTATTACTGACTAAGGCAGCACTACGGCCGAAGACATCTGATGGGTTACACCAATAACAACGCAGCCTTCGGAGGTCGAGTCTCCAGTGGCAGCTTCTTACTACGATAATTGGCTCTTTCCCCAGACCTCGGGCGCCTTTAATCTCCACCTGCCCTTGCTTTCCCCGGGCTTGGAAAGTCAATCGTTCTTAGGCGATACCCGGTCGTCGACTAGAGGAAGAGAGAGAGACACACACGAAGGATTTGCCATCTGAGAGGTTGTCCGCGTGTGAGTCTGCAGCCCTTGCTGGACGAATGGAGCCATGTTCCTTCCACCCTGCATTTTGGGGCCCTATGGGGTTATTCCCTCCAGCCCTTTAACCTAGGTAATTAAACAACCCTCTAAGACGATGGCAAAGCCCTTCTTCTCCCCCGCTTGCCCATGGTTTGCGGAAAGTCTAATCCCCCATGCCTCCAATGGGAAGTTCATGGACGAATGGAGAGAATACCGCAGAATGATGGAGGATCGGCGCCTCCCTCTTGTCTGTGTCTCTGGTGATGGTGAACGGCGTCCAAGTTCTCGCCAGCGAGACCCATTGTGTTAGCCTGACTTCTAGTCGTCAATTAGGGACATTCACACACACGGGAGTGGCCCGTCAGGTGGATTCCTGCACATCGTTTTAAAAGCCAACGCTAAATTCGGCCGCTCCACTCCTGCGCATCGCCGACAAAGCATGATAAAGTAATAAAAATGATGGTGACACCGTAATAATAAAAAATAATAATATGATATAATAACAGCCTAGATTATGCCCCCCAAAAAAGACAAATGGGGTGAGGGGAGGAGGGGAAAAAAGAAAAATTTCCCAAATTTTGCTCAGATCAACGCTAACCAACGGATCCCATGGAGAAAATATCGAATGAAAATAAAATAAAATAAAATGGACCATCAAAATCAAATAAAATAGAATAAAAAAAAAGAGGAGAACTTACCAAACCAACTAAAATCCCAGGCTAAACTCAACTAACGGTCCTTCCTCCCAAATCCGGTAGAATTGCTGGCTCCCTGCAACCTTCGCTCGTCCGGGTTGGGTCTCATCCCAAAGTCCGTTAATCCCAGCGAGAAGCACTGTCAGGCCGGGCCACTTCCTATTTCTTATTTGACCTTCGCCTTTTCCCCTCTTCTCCCTTGTCCTCTCTCCTCATTGCTTCTATTTATTCCTCTTACATCTTGCACGGTCCCAGTCGTCGTCAAGATACCTTGCTGATCCGGCCAGCAGAGCTGTGCGCATCATTTTTCTTTTTGAACTCCTCCTCTTCCCCTCTCCGTGGTTTCATATATATTCATCTCCCTCCACCGTCCAGCTAGCTGGATTGCTCTTTGATCTTAAACCATTATAATCAATCTCCCTCCTATACCTTTTGATCCTTGATCGGATTATCTCCACCCTATAATCATCATGTCTGCTGAACACCCTATTGAGAAGGACATGGCTCCTGAGCTCGAGAACGGCAGCAACGGCAGTGCTCCCTTGACCCACGAGTTGACCGCTGAGGAGACCGCCAGAGCTGCTGCGCGTTTTGGCTATGGACCCATGGCTCACGTCAACACCAAGGAGGCCAACCTGCGCCCCTTCGGAGGTGAATTCCAGCCTGGTCTGTACAAGTCGGTCGAGCAGCGCAAGTTCGCCAACCCGGCGCCTCTGGGTCTCTGCGCTTTCGCCCTCACCACTTTCCTCCTGAGTTTGATCAACATGGGAACCCGTGGTATCTCTGCGAACAACATCGTCGTTGGTCTGGCTTTCGGATATGGTGGTCTCGTTCAGTTGCTTGCTGGCATGTGGTAGGTACTCCCTGTTGCCACACTCTCGAAATGAAATGCTGATCGTTATTGATAGGGAAATGGCTGTCGGAAACACCTTCGGTGCCACTGCTCTGTCCTCCTACGGAGGTTTCTGGATCTCTTTCGCCATTGTCTTGACCCCCGGTGGGTTCGAGATCGAGTCGTCGATTGAATCCGCCGGTGGCGCCACCATGTTTTACAACTCGATGGGACTGTACCTGCTGGTAAGCTTGATCAATGGCTGGGAGAATGAGCGTCGCGTTAACAATCCTCCTTAGGGCTGGTTCATCTTTACCACCATCCTGCTGTTCTGCACTCTGAGATCCACTGTCGCCTTCTTCTGCCTCTTCCTGTTCCTGGACCTGACCTTCTTGCTACTTGGTGTTGGTTATTTGCAGCGGAACTCTGCTGGCGAGCCCAACACTCCCGTCATTAAGGCAGGTGGTTTCTTCGGTCTCCTGGCTGCATTCGCCGCTTGGTACAACGCCCTTGCTGGTATTGCCGACAGCAGCAACAGCTTCTTCATCATCCCTGTTGCTCACTTCCCCTGGTCTCCCACTGCTCGTAGCCGTGCTAAGACCCCCCGTGAGACTGTCTAAGCCAGTCGCGTGGGTTCAGGCCATCGACATGGTCGCGTTGAAAGGAGCCTCTTTGAAAGAAAGAGTAATACACCTGCAGTTGTTATGTTTCAGATACCCATTCTAGTAAGGCCATTGCTGCGCGGGGAATGGTCCAGGTTGTAGACCACTTGGGGGTCTTGTCAAGACGTGCAAGCCCTCTGCAGCGGGTCCAACCAATCCAGAGCAGTGTTTTGTTTATTGTGTTGGTTTCCATTGGGATATATAATATCGGAACCTGGGTAATAATGATGGAGCAGTCCGTTGTCGAGTGCGACGGACAGGGGACGCGTTGGTTTTGAATGTTTAGTTTTTGTTAATGAAATGATTAACCTTGAATGAATACATGATTTATGTCAGCTTGACCTGAAGTAAATGCTCGTAAGACCTACCTATCCCTCTGTCAAAGACATCCATCCATCCACCCATCCATCCACAAGTCCTGCGCAGCAGTCCTGATAGACCTTATATACCCCAACACAAACAAAGAAAGCACAAACAAGAAAAGAAAAGAAGTATAAAAAAGAAAGCAAGAAACTATAACCTGCACGCAACACAACACAATGCAATGCAACTCACTCTTCAAACCTTCGAAGCAAAGCTTCAATAGTCAGTAGTAGAAGTAGTAAGTAATCCCCGACCGCAGGAAACAAAGAAATAATATCCCGGTCGCTTGACACTTTGTCAACGTCGCAAACTCTCCGACGTCGCACAAATTGAACCCCAAGGATGAGTCAAAACAATCAATCAAGTAATTGGGGAGGTAAGTCGGCGGGCCGTTTCCAAGCTGTCAGTTAGTTCTTTTCTTCCTTCCCTGTTCAACTTTTCTTTGTGTAAATATACTTTGTTAGTGTATAGACATGTAGTATAGCAATAGTAAGAGTAAGTAGTAGGTAGTCCTGAACAAGCAAGCAACTATGCACACTCCCTGCTATGTAATCAGAGGGTATGTATAAATCGCTATATGTTTCAGTATACAGATAAAGAAATGAAGGGGAAAAGAAAAAAAAGCGCAAGGCTAGCTAGCAGCGAAACGAAGAGACCGACGTAAGTATTTATCTCCTCTTCACACCGACCGACCGGCAGCGGCAGCGGCAGAGACTCGGCATTCGGGCGGGATTCGCTCGGACGGAAATGTCTCGGAAGTGTCAGAAAAAAAATAACCTCACTAAGTACTTACGGACACTAGTTAGTTCATACTTAGTTGATTGATCCCGAGATCGATTGTCCAATCCGCTGCTGTTGGCTGGGTTCTGCCAATGTGGACTTTTTGACATGTGTTCGTGTAAGTGGATTCTTTCTTTTTCATAGCTTTTCTTTAATCATAATTATTTTCTGTGGTTGTTTTTCTTTAAATTTGTTTCATCGTTTGTTGGTGTGGGAGAGGGCGTGGGTGGCTGGGATTGTGTTATTGGGAGGTGACTGCTTGTTCAATTGGTATGTATGGGTGAGGGATTTTTTGTACAAGGCTTGGTTTTGGGGCTTACTGTCCTGTTTTCGGGCTTGGTTTAGTCGGGATCCCGAATGGTGTGATATTTGGGATTATGGCTGATTGGTTGATCATCCTGTTTTCATGATCGAGAGGATCATGTGTGGATAGGTAGTAGAATTGTGAAAAACGTAACGATTGCGGCAGCTTTGTCATATATACCATATCTCATTAATATATCATGCATGCCACATGGAACATGCGATCAGTCCTATGTATGAGTGTTATGTCGGGTCTATATACATTCGTGCGGTGCGCGGAGCTTCATCTCAATCTCTTCCCATAGTTCTCGTAGCGGAGTCAGGTAGCTCCGGTCCGCATAGAAAAAGCCTAGAAGTAGGGCTCGGAGGTCCTGCCACGAGTGGATGCTTCCGTCTTCTCGAAGTACCGAAACAAGCTCGTTCACGAAAAAGGTCCGCTCCGGTAGCAGCCGCGAACTGCACGCCCCGATGAACAGGATCCAGATCAGCACATCCCGGCACAGTTCAAAGTATCCAGCACTCATCGTGCTTTCCAGCGCAAAACGGAGCGCAGTCACCGGTTTGGGAAACACCGGCGCGATGTGCGGGTAGAAGCCCCAAATGACGGTGTTATGGAACACCAGGCATGCTAGCCGAACGCAGCCTTCGATGGTGGCTTCCATCTTGATTTCACCTGTCGCCGTGTACCGGTCCTCATGGAGGGAGTATTCGACGTACAGGACTTCGGTGTTGAAGTAGTCCTCCGTCTCGTCGTCAAAGTCTTGGTATTGCGTTGTACTCTTGATCCATTCGCAGTACCACGTCAGTGCGGCCAGGTCATATATCATCTTGGACATGGCATCCCCAAAGATGCCGGGTATCTCAATTAATTGTGTCAAACGCGTAGCTAAAATTAGTAAATCTTCATTAGGAGGCATAAGCGCCAATTGCGAGGGACGGGCGTAACGAATAAAAGGGAATATGGGCTTGGTGCCGGCCATGCACGCCACACGGATGTCAGTCCTACTCGAGTCAGTCCCGGCCCACAGACTCCACCAAAGCTTGGGGTTAAACTGACCATGATATCTGGAATCGAACGTCGGGCGGTACATCCGCGAAGGTTTTCCTCATGCCTACCATCTGTCGGAGACCGGCCAGATGGATTTTGAGATAGTCGGCATTGCCAGATGCAATCTGACCAGTTAGCTAACCTCTTACATAATGGTTCAGCCGTACTAACCTCAATAGTCAAAAGGATTGACACGGCGGCAATCAGCTGGTCACTGGAGGCCTTGATCGGATCCGATAATCCCTCGTTAACTAGTTTGATCGTCTCACCCCGATGGTGGAACGTGTCCAGAAGTAGCACGCTAGAACGCCGCTTGTTGGGGTCTGTCAGCGGGAGCTCCCCTGCTGCCAAGGCGGAATTCGATGCGGCTACACATATACAAGCATGCAATGATACCGGATCTTGTTGAACCAATGCGGTCCAGTGATCCCGCAACTTAGGTCCATACCGGCGCTGCAAAGGATAGGCCTGCTGAGTCAGGTCGAAGACTGCAGAAAGATCGTTAGAACTACGTCTTTCAAAGCATATTGCAAGTCAACCTACAGTGCTGAAGATGTCGACACATACGGTCCGACATGACCGTATGCATTGAATTGAAGGGGTCGGTAGCACCGCCCAG